CAACCCCCACTAAAAAAAAATACGTCCATTTCATATTAACCCAGGGGGGTCGTGGGACGTTAAAGGTGCGAGTTAAATAACAAAAGTTGCCAAATTTCGTGACTTTTCAGAGTTTTGGGGAAACATAACATGACCTCACGTCCTTAGATCTTCTTTTTTTTATTCGAAAAAAAAAAGCACATAAAATCGTGGCTGATACAAGATTCTTGATGTAATTTTGGCCACATGTAACGGTTTGTAACCTAGACGTGATATAACTGCCACGTGATTTGAACTAAACACCACAATAGTTTGATGTCTCGCGTTTATAATTTTCAAAATTCACGGAGAGGAAGCGCAACTTTGTGCACCACCCCTCCCCCCTTCCCATACTCAAGAACATTTAAAAGACCGCGCTAAATTGACAACAACAAAAATTTAACTTCAACTCATAAAAGTCAAAAAAAGCGAATTCGAAAGCGTCGGGCTACAAGCAGTTCCTAAAAGCGAAAAAATGACGGAGAAACGGGGGACAGCAGACAGTAGCAAGAGCACAGGCATAAAGGATGGCATTGTCACCTACATGTGACTCGAAAGTTTCGTGAAAAGCGTGGACGAATGTCTTTTTTTCTCTGATCATACCTTTTTAAAGGCCTCGTAATTTTGTTAACACACACGCATAATTACGTAACGGCAACATTTACCTTTGACTCTGAATTCTGATTATCACTTTTATGATATCATCATACCTAAACAGCTATCTTGCAGTAATAAATTGAGCCAAAAAACGACAACGCTTCTTGATTCTACATGCGCATTGCGTGATGTAGTGCAGATCATTCCCGCTCCACAGTCCAGATAAACACAGCTTCGATAATGGATCAGAACTTTTTTTCCCGTCTTGTTTTGTTTTTGGACGCGCCTGTTCCCCATTTTGACCTCTTAAAATTCTTAAAGAACGGACTGACTTCCAAGTATAAATCCGCATCGAGGCATTGAATAGACATAGTATTCTTTCACCAAGGTAAAATGAAATAGCAGCACGACCGACAGCAAAGATAAATTTTACTAGAGGAAGCAAGAGTACCAAAATACCAAAATATCGACTCCAAAACTGTCTCGAATGCCAATCACCTCTGGATTGTCAAGTGACTACAAAAAAGGTCCCTAAGCTCTGACTAGTAAATACATTTTTTCACGAATTCCACCAGCCAGAAAAAGAAATGATGAAGGTTGTATAAATCTGTTGAAATTCTCACACCAGATTAAACAAATCCTCTGAGAAAAGGATGCTCGTTATTTATTTCTCTCCGACCCCGCCCCACCCACCAAAATTAACTGAAACGCTCCGGAAGAAAAGCCTCCTTAGTAACTGCTTCTCNAAAAGTCAAAAAAAGCGAATTCGAAAGCGTCGGGCTACAAGCAGCTCATAAAAGCGAAATACTTGACATAGAAACGGGGAAAGTAGACAGTAGCAAAAGCACAGGCATAAAGGATGCCATTGTCACCTACATGTGACTCGAAAGTTTCGTGAAAAGCGTGGATGAATGTTTTTTTTCTGATCATACCTTTTTAAAGACCTCGTAATTTTGTTAACATAAACACGCATAATTTACGTAACGGCAACATTTACCTTTGACTCTGAATTCTGATTATCACTTTTATGATATCATCATACCTAAACAGCTATCTTGCAGTAATAAATGGAGCCAAAAAAAGACAACGCAACTTGATTCTACATGCGCATTGCGTGATGTAGTGGAGATCATTCCCGCTCACAGTCCAGATAAACACAGCTTCGATAATGGGATCAGAACTTTTTTTCCCTTCTTGTTTTGTTTTTGGACGCGCCTGTTCCCCGTTTTGACCTCTTAAAATTCTTAAAGAACGGACTGACTTCCAAGTATAAATCTGCGTCGAGGCATTGAATAGACATAGTATTCTATCACCAAGGTAAAATGCTAGAGGAAGCAAGGGTACCGAAATACCAAAACATTGACTCGAAAACTTTCTCAAATGCCAATCACCTCTGGATTGTCACGTGACTACAAAAAAAGGTACCTAAGCTCTGACTAGTAAATACAGTTTTTCACGAATTCCATCAACCAGAAAAAAAATGATGAAGGGTGTATAAATCTGTTGTAATTCTCACATTAGATTAAACAAATCCTCTGAGAAAAGGATGCTCGTTATTTATTTCTCTCCGACCCCGCCCCACCCACCAAAATTAACTGAAACGCTCCGGAAGAAAAGCCTCCTTAGTAACTGCTTCTCTAAAGAAAAGGTCCACTCCTTTTAATGACAGCAGTTTAAACTATCGTTTATATTGTCGGATCGGGTGCACCGATCTCTCATGCGCTAGCTTGTCATCTGCATGTCGATAAATGATCGGAAGTGTCACGACAGGCGACGAACGGGAACCATTTCCGATCGTGCCAGTCAAAAGCCGCAAAATTTTGTTAGATCACAAACGCATAACCCAAGGCAAAATTTGCTTTGTTCTGAATTTTGAAAACTTATAATATATCAATAACATATTCACAAAAATCTAGCAGTATTCAAATGTAAAACAGGCAGAAGCTGTAATATTTGATTATTTTTTATCAGTTCTTATAAAAGAGTACCGCGTGGTGTAGTGGAGATCAACGTCGCTCCTCGATCAAGAGTTCTAATCGACCGCAGGTTCGATAACAGCTTGGAACCTTTCTTTTTTCATAGATACATTTCACCAATAAAAGTGACTCTGATGATGATCAAACAGATCGAAAACGTTAAGACTCAATTTTAACAGCTTTTCA